GATTGATGTGGGGAGACCCAGGTTTGTATTCTCACTCTGCTGGCTGAGTGACCCCGGGCCAAATCTCCCCTTCTCTACCTAACCTACCCCACAGGGTTGTTGTGAGGATGAAATGGAGACTTATGGGCAGGGTCCCCAGCTTCCCTGGCAGAAACACTATGTTAAGAAATCTCTCACAATTATGCAGCCATAGCAGGCAGGAGGGAAGGAGGTGAATACCTCCAGCGCCAGAGACTTGTAGAGGAAGAGTCAAACTTTGGGGACTCACCTGTGCACCACAGGGCCAAGGCAGCAGGAGGCAAGAAGCCTGGGCGAGCTGGGCATGCCTGGCAGAAGATGAGTTGCAGAGGCGAGAGGTGGGCAAGCAGAAGAGGCACTCAGCCAGCTGCACAAGCTGCGTGCAAAGAAACACCCGCCGCCCCAAGCTTCAGGGCTGCCTCGTTAAAGGAGTGCGGAGGCCAGACTCGCAAATGAGAAAAAGCAAGCTCAGGGTTCGTGGGTCGCATTTTGGGCTGTGGAATAGGAACCGGCTTCATTCCTGGAGTTCTCTCGAGTTCCTGCGCTTTTGGTTTTGCTTTTTGCCAATCCGCCTCCCAAGACTGCTCCAGGTGCTCCGGCCTTTGGGCTGCTGGGGCTTCCCGCAGTTCGGCCCCATTATATCCTATGGGCCATTGAAGTCAATGGCAAAAACATAGGGTGTATTCTGGGGGCTGGAGGGGAGGGGGTTTGAGGGAGAGGCTCCAGAATCGCAGGGTAGCTGCTGGAGCCTCTCCCCAAGATACCCACCATGTTTCAGGAACAGTAAACCAGGGGGTCCAATTCTACAGGCCTCCAAATAGGTTGCCCCATCCCCTCCATTGTTCTCTATGGTGGGGAAAAAAGTTACTTTTTTGGCTCCAGAGCAAAGTTACTTTTTTCCCACCATAGAGAACAATGGAGGGAATAGGCCGTCCGCGCCTACAGCGGAAGAGCCACACTCAAGGGGCCAAAGAGCCGCATGTGGCTCTAGAGCCGTAGTTTGCCTACCACCGGGCTAGGCGATCTGGGAAGCATATCTGGCCACAGGTGACGGGGCTGCGACGGAGACCCTGGGAAGCCACTCCCGATTGGAGTCCTGGTACAGCGGCCGGTGGTCTGCCTGGCTGCAAGAATATCAGGAGAGCCCTGGATCCTCATGCGAAACCACTGAGGGGCCACCTGATCCAGCACATCCTGCCTCACACAGGGGCCAACCAGTTCCTCGGGAGGGCCAGGAACAGGGCAGAGAGGCCAAGGCCTTCATAAGAACAGAGCCCTGCTGGATCAGACCAGGGAGGGTCCTTCTAGTCCAGCCTCACACAGGGGCCAGCCAGTTCCTCTGAAAGGCCAACAAACAGGGCGCATGCAGGCCGAGGCCTTCCCCTGAGAAGAACCTCAGGGGAGCCCTGCTGGGTCAGACCAGGGTGGGTCCATCTAGTCCAGCCTCCTGCCTCACACAGGGGCCGACCAGTTCCTCCGGAGGTCCAGCAACAGGGCTCAGTGGCCGAGGCCTTCCCCACTGGGAGTCAGAGATTGACTGCCTCTGAATGTGGAGGTTCCCTTTAGTCACCAGATTCCCTTTAGCATGACTAGCAGCCACTGTTAGACCTCTCCTCCATGATACTGACTAATCCTCTTCTGAAGCTGTCTGTGCCTGTGGCCATCACTGCATCCTCTGGCAGCAAATTTCACATTTTAATCGCTGATAAGAACATGAGAAGAGCCCTGCTGGATCAGGCCAGGCCAGGGAGGGGTCCGTCTAGTCCAGCACCCAGCGGAGAGGAATTTCCTTCTGTCCATCCTGCATCTGCTGCCCATCAACTTCGTTGGGTGCCCCCAAGGAGAATCTCCCTCCATAACCACTCTCCTTACCCCGTGCACGAGCCAGAGCCAGTGTCGCCTGAGGTTTGGGGTGACCAATGACAACCACCGGCTTCCGTGGCCAGATGGGAACAGATTTAGCTGCAGGGCCCCAAGCTCCAGCAGGGGGTGGGGCAGCTTTGACTCCTCCCACAGTAGGAGCTCGGGGTGGTGTCGGTGTCTTGGCTCTTCCTCGACCGTTTAATCTCTTTCTCGCTTGAGGCCTTCAGCTCCTCAGAGAGATCCTCTCTAGGCCCCAAAGTCGGCTCCTCTGAGCCCCCCCTCCCCCGGATTCTTGAAGCCACTTCACCTCCTGCCTCCCCCCAGCCTTGTTTCATAGAATCATAGCATGTTAGAGTTGGAAGGGACCTTGCAGGTCATCTAGTCCAACCCCCTGCACTCTGCAGGAGCACAGCCGAAAGAGAGCCCTACAGTATACCCGAAAGAGGGTCATCCAGCCTCCGCTTGAAAACGTCCAGCGAAGGAGCATCCACCACCTCCCCAGGCAGTCTGTTCCACTGCTCAGCCACTCTTACAGTCAGGATGTTTCTCCTGATACTTAGACGGTATCAACTCCCTTGTAATTTCCATCTATTAGAATGTTAGAGTTGGAAGGGACTTTGCAGGTCATCTTGTCCAACCCCCTTGCGCTCTGTAGGAGCACAGCCGAAAGAGAGCCCTACAACACACCCAAAAGATGGTCGTCCAGCCTCCGCTTGAAAGTGTCCAGCGAAGGAGCATCCACCACCTCCCGAGGCAGTCTGTTCCACTGCTCAGCCACTCTTACAGTCAGGATGTTTCTCCTGATGTTTAGACGGTATCGACTCCCTTGTAGTTTCCACCCGTTAGATCTAGTCTTGCAATCCGGAGCAAGAGGGAATAGATCTTCTCCATCTTCTACATGACAGTCCTTCAGATACTTGAAGACTGCAATCATGTCCCCTCTAAGCCGCCTCTTTCCCAGGCTAAACATACCCATCTCTTTCAGCCTTTCCTCCTAAGACTTGGATTCCAACCCTCTCACCATCCTGGTTGCCCTCTTCTGGACACGCTTGACCTTGTCGACATCCTTCCTCAAATGTGGTGCCCAAAACTGGACACAGGACTCCAGGTGAGGCCTGACCATAGCAGAACAGAGCGGAACGACCACCTCCCGTGATCTGGACACGATGCTTCTGTGAATGCATCCTAAGATTGCCTTCGCTTTCTTTGCAGTCACATCGCACTGCAGGCTCCTGTTTAGCTACCAGAACTCCGAGATCCCTTTCCCGTGTGCTGCTGTCAAGCCAAGTCCCTCCCATTCTATATCTGTACCTTTGGTTTTTTGATCCCGGCCTGAGTTTGGACCGATCGGCTCACCTACCAGGCCGGCATGCAGCTTGGACCTCACGTGGCCGCCTTGTCCCTTCTGACGACCTCCCCACCCCCTACCCTCCATGGGAGAAGACTCCACTCGGGATCACACTGAAGAAAACGATCTGAAGAGAAACCACTGAAGATAAAGTAGTGGTTGGACAAGCCCCCGGAGCAGGCAGGAGAGAGCTCGGATCCCTGATCTGTGGGGGAGGCTCTCGCATGCCACCCTATGGCTTTTCCTTGGCACAGCCGCCCAAGCCCACCGCTTGGTAAGTGTGCAGGGAAGCTCTTGCCCACTGATGGGTGCTGCTGAAGTTTTTCTACAGCTTCGGCTGGGAGGGCGGGGTATAAATTAGAAAAACAAATAAATATAAATGCAGCCTGCCCTTCCCTGAGAGGCCCAGAACAAGCCCAGGGGCTGTCTCTCATAAGAAAATCGGAGAAGTCAGTGTTGGATCAGGCCAATGGCCCGTCCAGCCCAACACTCTGTGTCACACAGTGGCCAAAAATACCGGCAGTGGTGCCAGGACACTAGAAGCCCTCCCACTGTTGCCCCACCCCCAAACACCAAGAATACAGAGCATCACTTGCCCCAGACTGAGAGTTCCTACCTATACCTTGTGGCTAAGAGCCACTGATGGGCCTCTGCTCCATATGTTTATCCTGTTCCCTCTTGAAGCCGTCCATGCTTTTAGCCGCCGCCACCTCCTGTGGCAGTGAATTCCGTGTGTTCATCACTCTTTGGGTGAAGAAGGACTTCCTTTTATCCGTTCTATCTCGACTGCTCAGCAATTTCATTGAGTGCCCACGAGTTCTTGTATTGTGAGAAAGGGAGAAAAGTACTTCTTTCTCTGCCTGTTCTATCCCAGGCATCATCTTGTCAACCTCGATCACGCCACCCCTCAGCCGTCGTTTCTCCAAGCTAAAGAGCCCCAAGCGCTTTAACCTTTCCTCATTGGTTGCCCCTTTCTGCACTTTTTCCAGTGCTATAATTGGGAAAATGCTATAACATAATCTCCTGGCTGATTTGCCTGAGGAAGTCAGACGGGCAGGGTCCTTATAGGAAGGAGAGGGTATATTGGTTGGTTGGTTTGCAACAGTGCTGTCCTGTGTTTATATGGGCACGGAGCCAAGGTGTCTGCAGGAGGACTCAATAAGAACAATACAGTCTAATAAAACAGAACTGACGGCATAAAGCCATAAAAGCCGCCATTGCCCGTAAGACGCACCAGGAATTTAAAAGCTGTAAGACAGTGAGACAGCTCAAAGGCCTCTGAACCCGGGACCGGCAACCAAGCAAGCTTCCACACAAGCAGGGGGCACGCCTCTGTGGGCGCGTTCTCAAAAGCATGAGCAAGCCTGCCTGAAAAGCATGAGCAAGCCTGCCTGAACATGGAGGCTCGGGCCAGTCCCTGCCTTGCTCCACCACCACCATGTGCACAGCACTGCCGGAGTCCAGCCCGGGTATCCTCTGCGTGGGCAGCTGAGACATAATACTTTCCAGGTCACTGTTCTACTTAAAAAGCTCGAAGCTGTGAAAACGGTATAAATGAACCATTGAGGAAAAAAATCACTTTCAGCAAGATGCAAGCCAGGAAATACCTTCACATCAGAGAACAGAAGGGAAGGCCACCCCAAGCCTGTCAGGAGAAGAGTGCCTCCCCGTCAGCGAGAAAGCCCCCCGGGCCTCCAAAGGAAAGGGTCTCCCCACAGTGTTCCCTCTAAGCTGAGTGAGTGTGAGCTGGCTCACAGTTTTTTTAGCCTCCGGCTCACACGTTTTTGTCTCAGCTCAGGAAGGATGTGGCTCCAGAGCAAACTTAATTCATGCAGCAGCCAAATGGCTTGCTCACAACTTTAGCGCCAGTCGCTCACAAAGGAGAATTTCTGCTCTGGAGACTCCGCAGCCTAGAGGGAGCCTTGGTCTCCCCACAGTGTTGGGGTGGGCACGGAGGGTGTCCTACGTGGAGCAGGCCCCCCTCGCTGGCTGACCTCTGGGGCGGGAGGAAGGCCCCCGCTGGGCCCCCCGCTGGGCCCTCTTAGGGCTCTCAGTCTCCAGGTGGGCCTTGGGGATTTCCTGGGAGCACAGCGGATCTCTAGGAGAAAACGGCTCCCCTGGAGGAGGAGGGTGGGCTCTGTGGCCCTCCTGCCTGCCGAGGACCCTCCTGCCCCTCAGCCCCCCCCCCCGTCTCCTGGGATCTCCCGACCTGGAGTTGGGAGTCCTGCAGTCCCTTCGGGTGCCATGGTGGTCCCAGAGGGCTCAGGGCCGGGGGGGTGGGGGGTGGGGACTGGCCTGGGAGAGGTGCCCCGGTCTTGCCCCAGGGTGCCCGTGCTGAAGGGGGGGGGGAGAAAGCGAGGGCAGAGCCGCCGTCCCCTCCTGACGCGCACGGCTGTCCGTCTCCTCCCTCCCGTCTGTCCTCCCAGGGAGACGAACCTGAAGGTGAGGCAGGCCCTGACGGTCACGGCAGAGATGGGAGAGGACCTCCAGACCCTCGGCGGCTTTGATGGTGAGTGCCCCAGGCAGGCCGGCCGGCCGGCCGGCAGCCTCCCCCCTCCTCCTCTCCCGGGGCCAAGTGGCTTCCTGCTGCACTGTGCCAGGTCACTTC